AAAAAAAAAAAAAAAAAAAAAAGAAACCTAGAAATAATGTCATATGGACTCCAGAATCCAAGAATCTCATGAAGATCAGAATTCTCCAACCTTCCCCTTCTGTCTTGACAGGAATATAGGACCATTGGCCTCTATTGGGGACCCCAAGACCTTGGTCCCATGATGACTGGGCCAGTCAGCCTGAAATATTGGGGTCTGCATTAAACAAGCACACCAGCCAGGCTGCATGAGGCTTCTCTGAATTCTCTCCATAGCTGTGTCTTAGTAGTGAGCTTCCCTTTCTGTGGCAGCCTGCACTGCGCTGTGGGTTCTGTCAGATGCCTCAGGAGCTGTCTGAGCTTTCCCATCCCTCCCAGGGGTCCACTAAATACTCACTTCCTGAGCTCTCCACCTCTAGGAACCAGTGAACATATAAGTGCCCAGAAGCCAGGGGATTTGGCCCTGCACTGCCCTTTACTATATTGCAAATGTGGGGCTGGGGTGGGGACTTAAGTCCCTCTCATCACCCCTCTTTCATACAACATCCAGCTGCATTGTCCTGCCCTTGTGCCCCAGCCTGACATGCCACCCTCATTCTGGTCCTGGGAGGCATTGTCCTGGTCCGTCAGGCACCCTGGGTCAGTTTGCTGCTGCAGGCTCACTACACCCTGTGTCTGAGGGCAGAGAGGCAGAACACTTACCCATGACACACGCACCAAGTTACGGGAAGCAGGTCTATTCCTTACAGACAGCAACAAGCAAACAGAAGCCTAGGACCCAGTGTGAACCCATCCCCCAGAGCTCAGGGAAGAGGCAGGCAGGAGGCAGGTGGAGTCCCTTGGTACAGTTTTTCTATTTGTTTTGTTTTGTGTCTGAGATAGAGTCTTGCTCTGTCATCTAGGTACCACGCAGTGGCATCATCGTAGCTCACAGCATCTTCAAACTCCTGGGCTCAAGTGATTAACCTACTTCAGCCTTCCCAGTAGCTGGGACTACAGGCACCTGCCACAATGCCCAGCTAACTTTTCTATTTTCAACAGAAATAGGGTCTCATTCTTTCTTGGGCTGGTCTTGAACTTCTGAGCTCAAACAATCCTCCTACCTTGGCCTCCCAGATTGCTAGAATTACAGGTGTGAGTCACTGCTCCTGGCCCCTTTAGTGCAGTCATTTTAAGTATGACATGTTTTTGGTTTCAATTCTCTTACTTTCCTCACCCCAGCCACACACACACACACCCCTCCCACCATTTGTTTCCACCTGTCTACCAGTTTGATGGTTGTCCTTTCCTATCCCATCCCAGACCTCACCCCATAGAGCCAATGAGTATATAACAGATTATTCTCCAGCCTGCAGAGGATTTAAATCAACCTGTGCTCTAAAGAGTGTGTCTGTGTCCTCCAGTCTCTCCAAAGGCACAGCTATTTATTTATAAGCCACAGCCATGGGCAGAGAGGTCAGTTGGATTTTTCCAAGACCAAGGGGGTCCCACTATGACACCCAACTTCAAATGTGAGCCTGGCTCTCCTTCCCCAACTGGCTCCAGCCGCTCAGTTCCCCCTGTCCTATTCCCATACTCCCTCACCCATGGCCCAGACTCCAGCAAGGCCATGACTTCAGCCTTGAATTTCACATTGACATTCTGTGTCTGGGCCACAGAGATCAATGTCTTGGTACTGAGCTTGCCTGTGTTGTTATTTTGTTTTCCTATGTTCTACACACATGTATCTATCAACAGCTTTTTTTCTCCTGTTTGAACAGAAAGATTCCATCCATGTGTGAAAATACTGAACTATCATGATATAAAATCTCCTCAGCCTAGACTCTGTACAGCTAACAAAACAGCAATATCTTAATAGTCAGAAACAGTGTGGAATCTTCAGAAATAATTAAAAAGAAAAGAAAAAAAAGCAGCTGGGCAAGGTGTCTCGTGCCTATAATGATCCTACTCTTGGAGGCCGAAATGGGAGGCCTAATCTTCTTGATCTCAGGAGTTTGAGACAAGCCTAAGTGAAAGCAGGACCCCAAAGCACAAAAAGAAAAAAAGGAAAAAAAGTAGCTGAGCTCTGTGGTGGGCACCTGTAGTCCCACCTACTTGGGAGGCTAAGGCAGGAGGATCACTTGAGCCCAGGAGTTTCAGGTTACTGTGAGCTATGATGCCACAGCACTCTACCAAAGGTGAGCCCAAAATGAGACTGTGTCAAAAAAAGAAAGAAAGAAGGAAAGAAAGAAAGAAAGACAGAAAGAAAGAAAGAAAGAAAGAAAGAAAGAAAGAAAGAAAGAAAGAAAGAAAGAAAGAAAGAAAGAAAGAAAGAAAGAAAGAAGTGGTTCACTAAATTGAAGCATTAAAGGAAATACTTCCTCCTTCAACGATGTGTGGGAGACCCCTTTCCCACTGGGTTCTGGGCTTCCTTTCATCCAGCCTTGATTTTATTTTCTTACTTTTACTAAAGATGGTAAAGAAGACAGAATCATTGGGAGAGTTTTCACAACTGAATGTATTTTATCTTAAAATGTTTCAAACATCTCCCATTGAATGTCACTGTGTACTGAAAAAAAGAAAAATGACACTTCACACACAGGGAAAAGAAAGAGGGGAAGGAAAATATTGACCATCTCAACAAGAGAAGCCCATAGAAACCCATCTGGCCTACTGCCGTTGGCTCCCCTCAGATGTCTTAAATTCTATGCTTGGCTCCTCATCAGGACCCGTGCATGGCATGTGTGCCTGTCACTGAAGGGCTATGTCATAGTCCATCAATAAAACGGGGCCCTCATATCTCCTGGGAGGAGGATACAAGCAGGGTGGGGATCCCCAGAGGCCTGGCCGTAGCTTCTCCCATGACCCTTTGCTTCATTGGTACCACAGCAGGTGTTTCGAAGCCTTTGTTCAAAGATAAAATATGAATATCTCTCAGGTTTCCCAACAGACAAACTAGGATTCATTGTGGGCAAATAGTACAAAGGTACAAAGAGAGCTTTTTTTGTTATTAGGGATATTATTTTATTAGAATATTTGGACAATATTGTATGATAACTAAGAACACAAAAGAAAAAAAGGAGAGAAACATGTCAACAGGGAAAAACAGAAGAAGGATGAGGCTTCCAGGCAGTCAAACCAAACCCCAGGAGCTGTGTTCTCATTTAGCTGAGGTCAGTGCCCTGGGTAGGTACGCGGGTGCTGGGCTGCTTTCAAAGGTTTTCTCCGAGATGGTTCCTATTAGGTCGCAGATTTTTCAGATGGAAAGATGGGAAACACCAGAGAAAAACAAGAACAGAGTTCAGGACCAGGGAGTGAGGGCAGAGCAGACAAGAGGGGAAGGATGGCAGTCTTAAAACAGGATGGTTACCCACAGCACCTGCCGACAGCGGGCGCCCCCTAGCAGCAGCACTGCTTCTTACAGCCACACTGCTGCTGGCAGCAGCACTTCTGCTGGCAACAGCCCTTCCCGCAGCCACAGCCACA